CCGGCGACCCCCACTGGTACCAACGGCGCACGGTTACCTAATCCCACTGGCGGTGAGTCCTTTGTTATCATATTATCTTTATCGAGCATCGAGATAATCGAAATAAGAGTGAACGGAAAATAAGAGAAAGGTTGGGAAAATATTGGAAAATTTAATTTTTGTAAGCCGCATGTTTATGATATATTTATTTTCATTATTGATAAATCAGCTTAAAATTATAATAAATATATTACAAGAGAAATGAATAATTTAAAAAAATAAATTTTTCTATTGATTTCAGGCGCCGCAACCGTGAAAAGAAAGAAGGATGTAAGTACTCAACACCTATGCCATTTGTCGCGATTGTTAAATAATTCCTATTGAAAAACTTTATCGTGAAATATAAACACATACATAAATACATTGGCCATTATGTGAAGTTAAACATATCGCGATTAGATTTGTTCTTTTTTCGCAGTAGCATGTACGGGAGCTCCGACGAGGCGTCGAAAACAAGCGTGACTCACTCGATCAATGATTAGGCACCTCTTGAATCTCGCGATCGATAGCAGCCGCGTTTAGATATTGTATTCGAACACCGGTTTGTCATACAACGATCACGTGAACGTATCTTTTGTATATTCAATCCACAGTACTTTTAATAAAATTTTTTCATTTTCTTCTTTTGCAGAACCTAGACGGAACGGAGGGAGAAGTAGTAGCGACGCAACATTGGGTGAGTAAAAAAGAAAAATTTATATTCTATCGCAAGTCTCGCGTATATTTAGGTTAACTTATAAATTAAGTTTTTGCTCGAATCTTTTCGGCGTATAACGCAAGCGAAGATGCTCGGATGAGCTCAGGCGATGCTTGCGATCGTAATCTTAAAAGACGCCGTTACAGAGGATGATGATTTTACCATTCAATGACGACTAACACGGAACGCCAACGTTTCGTGACATTTTCCCAAGAATTTTGTGTCGAACTTTTCCACTTTGCTCGAAATTTCCCGTTTAATTAAATGTTATGATGACAAGTGCAAAATTATATTTTTTCATATATGTATTTTTTAATAAGAGAAAATCGGGATAAAAAGAGTATCGGGATAAAGAGACGTATACGCGTAGAAAATTCGATACTGTTGTTACAAACGCGTTACAACCATGCGGGTATATGATTACAGGCGACAGTTTGTAATTCAGTGTCTCACATCGCGCAAACAAGGATTCGCAAAATTAAACAACAATCGAGCCGCGGTGGCGCGTCAAATTTGTTGTTTAGAGTTTCGTGTTAAGCAGTGAGGAACGAGCGAGCCGCCGCAGCTCATAAATGACACGCATACACGCGCGCAAGAGAGAGAGAGAGAAAGCTCTCGAGTCTTTCGCAAACAGATATAATATCGATCGATCGTAAGAAATTCAATATTTGTCGTTCGCCTTGCGCGACTTTCGCTCAAAAAGAAGCAAATTGTCTTCCGACGCGATCAAATACAGTTTGCAGCTGTATAAATCCTCTCGATGTATCCATTTAACTGATTTATTAACAGATAAATCGCACAGGGTTGTCAAGGTCTTCTTCTTTTTTTCTGACGAGATTACACATGTAAAAGATAACGATGGTAGCACAATAAGAAAAAAAATAAACTCGCAATTATTTCAATGACAGGTTCGAATTATCTTGATGCAATTAACAAATTTTAATTTATCTTTGCATATCTCGAAGAATATTATGTGTAAGTTCAAAAATTATTTATATATAATTATATTTGATAAAAACAAAATTATTCTGGCTGTGTACGTTATTATCGCGTTACGATGTCGTGCACAATAATAAATAAGCAAACATAACTCCGCGAAAGGATAGAAATAAATCCAGTGTCCCCACGGCAAAGATCGTCGCTAATCTACGCGATACGATGATCCCTCGTTTCGTATAAGCCCCCGCGATAATTTATTCAGCGGGCAAACTGCGCGATTACGTTTCTATTACGATATAGGCACCGACGGCGTTCTCAAGGGTGCTGTAACCGCCGTCCCAAGTGGTTCCTACGGGAATTTCACTTATCGTTAGCAATGTCCGCTGCCTCCGCAACTCGCCCCATTCTAGAGCTCTCTTTCGAACATATCCGTCGCCGGGTGGCAGTGTTAAAAAAACATTTCGCACCGTTTCCGATGGGAATAAATAACCCTCCGTGCCGTCGAAACGCCGTCGCGCGGTTCGCCCCGTAATTTTCGGACCGACCACGGGTCATTGACTCGCATAATCAACGCGTTCACTGCGTTTGATCGTATGTATCCTAGCCATTGCAATAAATCTATATATATTGTTCTGCAATGATCCTTCGGCCATAAAATCATACGGCGGATTTGCGATCGACTCTTCTATAACAAAAACATTTCAATTTTACATATTAGATTAGTTCAAAATTAAATTGTTCTTAATGTTAAGATGAAATTAAAATTAATTGTAAAATCGATTGTTTGTATACAGCTTAAGATGCAATTCGTTGAAATCTTAAATTTTAACGTAAAGAAACGATCGAATTTTTTTTAATCCGAGCTCCGGTATTTCCGGTCGAAAAAGAACATCCGGTGGTTCCGGCGGACGCCCTGCGCGGCCGCATATATTGTTTCTGATTCTTCGGGAGCAGTTTCGGGAGCCGCATTTGCGAATTTCCGCTGCGTTACCGGAGGGGGCCAATCTTAGGGGCGTGCGTCGAGGATGGTGGCATCGGTCGATTCGGTTAGGATCCCGCAATTCCGCGAGTCTTTTTTCGGGGGCTTCGTGAGACGTCGTGTTTGTGTGCACGGAGGTCACGGCAGACCATATGGTGTCGCGTGCTGCGGTCGCCAGACCGTGCAGCAGCAGCAGCAGTCGCCCCCTTTCCGAAAGTCTTCCGTACCCGTCCGTGGTTGTGTATAGTCGTGCATCGCGCGCCCCGGCCCCCCGGGCGTCCCGACGGTTTCACACTAATTCGTGGCTTCGTGGAATTTCCTGGGAGCCTCTCGAGTCCCCCGATCCGATCCGATAGCAGCGAGGCTGCCGTGTAAGTGGCACGAATTTACACGCGCGGTCGAGCGAGTGTTACCCGTCTTCTTTCGGTGGCGCGATGGACCGTTTTTTTTTTTTTTTTTTTTCCTACGCGGCATAACACACTCGCATATTCAATACGGTATATCGTATGGCCCGCGCATATTTTACGCGTTGTCCTTATGGCCCGCGTCTTTCTGTAAGATTCGACACGTTTCGTGTTGTCGGACTTCTTGAGACGACCTCGATGTGATGTATTTGTTTATGCGCACATTGTATACGTGTGCACTCGTTGCGTCTGTGAGAAATTCAAGGTAACGTTGCAGCATAACGAGCAATACTCGTTTTACCGGCAGGTGCTTGTTTCGACTATAATTAGTGGCATTTTTAAATTTTTACGCGCCTCTCATATACTTTATTAAAGCGAGGATTATATTTATTTACGCGATACACCGAGGCTTGTTTTGCGCCGAGTGAGGCTGATAAATTTCGCGCTTAATTTCTTAATTATGGCAGCCGTGCGAGAGGGGCGATTTTATTTCGATTTTTACTATTTTGTCGCGTCGACTTTGCCTATTAGTAGAACTCGTCGCTTCGCAACAGCTATCTCAACCAATGTGCTTTGATACTTCGTTTAGCGTCCGTCTAATTACACCCTCTCCGTGAACGTACAGGGTTAATGAAGTAATTAAGACGATTTTAATTGCCTTTTAAAGTCAAATTGTAGGTTTTACGTTTAATTGCCTCGTAAGATTTGCGATTCGCTGACATTTACTGTCGTTCTTTTACTTGACGCATGAAACGAAAATATCGCCGATGAAAACTCTTGGGGGGAGGGGGGGATTCACAGTTTACTTATTAAGTAATGGTAAATTCTCTTGACGATTTTTAATTCTTTCTCATCTCATCACGCCGCCAGAATGTTTCATGTGTTTAATTACGTGGCAATTTTCGATTGCGTTTAATAACCTGTGCATTCCATAAAATTCTGGACGAAAGACACTAATTAGTTCTCCTCCATCGGTCGCTTGACGTAAATCAATGTTAATTTGACGAGAGAATATCGCGAGAGCTGTTCACGAAATTAAGCAGAGACCAGTTTGACGCAAAACATACGCAAGTTTTAATTAAGGAAAATTAGTAAAATACCAATGCCAATTATTTTACAATAATAATTAGATAATTTAAATCGATTAATAGAACAATCGATCGACGATGGAGGGAAAAATTACTCTGACTCGAATTTCTACAAATTTAATGATTTTTCAAGAATAGCGTCGAAGGGTTTTTTTCGCCGAACTAGGCGTTTCCGCGTTTCCGTCGAAGGGTTTTTTTTCATTTGAAAGGCGCGGCTGTCGAATTTCGTTTTTCTGTGAATTTCGTCGATACTGACGTTTTCACACTGACGTCGCGACCGATGGAGGAATGCCATATCATTTATTTAATCGTGTACCTTGTGCGCTTTGTAATGACCGGTTGCGTTCGTGGGACCATTTCGAAAACGAAGTTGAGCCCCGTTCAACAGGCGCCGTAAAGTCCGGTGTTCCGACGTGTTCCCGCCCTTTGTGAGATTACGAGACTGATTCCTTTGGCATTATATGCATTCTCACGAGGATCTTAAATTATAGACTCTAGTCTTTCGAAGGTCGCTTCATACGAAAAACGGAAAAACGACTTCTTGTCTTGCGACGATAAAAGCACTTATTGATACTCTAAGATAATTCGTTAAAAAAAAAAGTAGCAATAGAGAGGCATATTCCTAAGATTAGTTTGAGGAATTTTAAGTACCGTGTAGCAAATAATTTTGAAAAAGCCGGGAGAATTGATTTTAAATTGATGGACGAATCCGCTGAAGAAAGGCAGGCTGATCTAGGACACCGGTGTATAACGGTGTATTCGCGCTTAATATTTTGACGCAAGAAGGAGGCCGTTTTTATTCCCGGCGTCCCGTAATTTGCGCAGCGGGAGGAGATAATCTCAATGATTGCGTAATATGACGCGGCGAAGAGAATTATTTATCAGCGGCCGAGAACGCGAGAGATTTATCGAGCGTGAAACGACACCGACGAACAGCGCGCCCCCTCTCTGTCTGCCTCTCTTTTTCTCTCTCTTTATGGGTTGTATCGCGCGCGCGTATCCGACAGGAGTATGTCCTGTCTCGTCAGCGAATCAATTATCGAGAATCGCGTGCGTGGCCGAGTCCGGCGGTGGAGCGGAAGACGGAGAAAGAAGAGGAAGAGAGCGCGGGGCGGCTCGCTGCTAGAGACGTTTGTTGAACGTTGTTTGACGGGCACCTGTTGCTGGTAGCACACCAACGAATACCTACCTACCTACCTACCTCTACCTCTCTTCGCGGTGTGCAGTCTCTCGCCCGACCGCTGCCGTTCCTCTCACCCCGTTTCTCCGCCGCTTGCTTTACTCCGATCCTTTCGTGGCGCACGCTACTTCATCCCCCCTGTGTGCCTTTGCACTTGTTTACTCGATTACCTCGCGCGCGCTTCTTTTGCGGAGGAAGCGAGGAAGCGGCGTCTTTGGAAAACATCGGAGAAAGCTGCAAACAGAAATGCTCTCGGTGTTGTTGGCGTAGCGAGCGAGTTCGCGTAATTCGCAAGATACATTTTGAGGATCAAAGTTACAACCGACTCGGATCTTACAAGTCACGGACTTATTCTCGCTTTTCCATTACGAATTACATACGTTGTTAAATTAAGT